GAAGGAGAAAGTAGGGATGTACTTTCTGTTCCTAAAAGTCCATGAAAGATGAGTTCTTGACTGCAAAGTCGTATCAGTGAGATTTTTTTCTAAGTATTTTGTCATTGCTAATTGTGTAAGATCTTGATACCTATTTCAAATGCCTACCTTTGTCTAAATATAAATAAAAGGGCCTGCATTGTTGCTTACAAGTTGTCTGAAATTGCTAGGTCACTGTTTCTATTTATCTATAATAGCATATTGCTCATTAAAAGGCAGGATTTGTTGCTGTACTTTCCTCCAAACTGCCTCGGTTCTAAACCAGAAATCACTTTGGTAATTTTTCTGTATTTTCTATATTTTATATTTTATATAAATAGTATCATCTTTCTAATAGAATTTAATAATCTGCTCTAACTGGAAGTACTTCTGGAAGTGTTTTCATGGTAAGAAAAACATGCACTTAAAGCATCATAAACAGGCAATTCTTTCAATAGTTTTGAATAACAGTGGACTGTATGCGATAGACAGGAAAACCAGATGTGGCACCAACTTTGTATAAATTAGAAGACTATGCTCTTCCTATATACAGTTCTATGAGGATGCCATGTGATGGATGAATGTTTTGGTTTATTTAGGCATTGTAATTTTGTTCTGATACAAGGGTAGAGCCAAAACTGATTGAGTACTGCTCAAGGACAGCATTTCTGTTTAATTACTTTGTTTATAATGTAGGACAGTGTCTGTAGTGTCTGTGTCACCAAAGTTTGTATTTTCCATAATTTCTCTTTTTTTTACATATTTTATCCAGTGATTCATCTTTTCTTGAATGGTGCTTATTGATCTGACCTGTAAGTTAACAAAGATTCATTTTGGAATGGCATAGAGATCCAATCATAAACAAAATTATTTCATGGTACTTATATAGAAAGCTTTTTTACGTACAGGAAGATTACCATCGTGGAAAAATGTATTAGAAATGCAGAAGTGTGTTATGATAAATATAGCACTCATAGGTGGGGTTAAAGGCTGTGATGTAGCTGTGTGCATTCAGATTTATTTACTGCACAGAAATGAATCCCAAATGGCTATTTTTGATTCACTGACTGTAATCCCAGCAAGGCAGCCTTACAGACATCTGCTAAGGTTTTTTATTATTATTTGGTTAAGATTTTGAGATTGAGGTGAGAAAAATCCAACTGTCACCTAGAAATGACCTCAAGGGGCTTTCACAGATTTATCCAACATGATTTTCAGAGATTTCTACATGCTTAGATATACGTCTTGCTCCAAAGTGCTTCAGACTCTGACTACTCACATTTTCTAAAAAATAATGGACTGATATATGTGGTGTGCTGTTTAACCTTTACTCAGTCAAGTTTGGGGGTTTTTTTCAAAATATGAAGGATAAAGACCTAGCAAAGGGCAAAGTGCCCCACATTTTTCTTCAGTAACATTGAAAGATATATCAGTGAATCCACTATTATGTGTGCAAATAATTCCTTATGCTAAGTAGCCCCTCAAATTCATAGCCATTGGACTCACTCTCAGTACATTAATAACAGTCTTGAGATTTTGGGATATACTAAAACAATTTATTTCCCAGTGACCTTCTTATCTGAACAAGATCAAGACTTCATATCTTTATTTAGCCAATATACTGTTGTAGTCTATCTGAGAATTGTTTGTGTCTTGCTGCTCCTCAGGAGAAGGAAGAAAGAGCGTACAGACCAGATAGTGCTTCCAGTCGTACTGGTATTGTGCCACACAGTTATCTGACAGTAATAACATGAAGCAGAAACATTTAGATCCTCCTTTCTTTTTCATTTAGATAACTGCATGCTGATAAAACTCTAATGAAAAGGAATCAGAGCACAGGATTGAGTGACTTATTATGGAAATTTTCTGTGATGCATTGTAATGTTAGATTTTCAATTTTTAAAAGTGGTTACATTCCTAATTGGTGAACAAAAAGGACCAATTTATCCCTTGCTGTGAGAAACATTTTTCTGATATAGTGTTCTCATGAAGCCTCTAATTCAGCCAAACACATTATGTAAATGGAACCTATGAAATACCTTTTAAAATATACATCAGATTTACATTACTAGACTGTTACATTAGATTGAGCAAGGGCCTTTGTTACACGATATGGCAAATTTTTTGACTTTCATAATACTCCTCTCTAAAATAAACTGTGTTTGGTTCAAGCAAGTCTTCTATTAATAAATCTTTGGGTTATCCTAAATGAGTATTTACTAGCTTCATCTGGGCATTATGAACATAATCTCTACATCTTCATCTTTACTGATCTCAGGAACAAAACTTTTATATCCCTTTTAAACTTGAAGTGCTTTCTTTTGATACAGAATCTGCAAATGTTGGAATGCAATGACTGTTCCAATGTCAAATGAATTTGGATAAATCTGCATTGCATACAGATTGAGCTTCTCAAAGTCCTACTACACAGATACTGTGGGCTGCAAAATTAGTGGACTGTAATAGCTATGAAAGCTAAGCTTGTGCTTTCTGACATGGTCAGAACCCAGACTTATACCTAGTTTGTATACATTGCTTTCAAGTCTCATAGTGTTAAAAGGTAGCATATTTTAAGATTAACATTGTTCCTAGAGATGCAGTTTAAATGTGTACATATATGGCTGTGCCCCTTCTGGAGAATATAGTTTATTTTCAAACAGTTGTAATGTATTAGAAGCAAAAATGATTATCACAAAATAATTTACATTAGTAACTGATTGTAGTAGTTCTTTTGGATGATGAAGTGCTGTTAGTCTTGGTTTCATTCAAGTTTAGGTGGAAGTGTTAATAATGCCGTTTTCATTTCTGGCCTCAGTTTTTTAACATATCCAACTCTTGATAGGTTTCTCTCGTGGATCTCTCCTCACATGTAAGACGTACTTTGCCTTTGAAGCAAAGGTCAGAGAGGTGTGAATTTAGATCCAGGGAGCTTCCCATGAAGCTAAACAAATACTCAGATACTGCAGCAATAAATACGAGCAATTAACCCTAAAAGAGAAATATCTGATAAAGCTATAGGCAAAATTGATTAATGAATTTCAGGAAGAAATCTTTGGGGTGTTTTTCTTAATGTTAATTTTGACTGGTGAGCCATGGGGACTTTCTCACTGTAGGGACAAGATAACTGCTGCTCCAGCTCTCTATAATGATTCTGGGACCATCCAGAGCTAAAATGATACAGATCAGCTCCTCATTTTGTCTTACAGCTGTCTTTTTAAAATTATTATTCATTACATTCAGAACAGCAAGTGGGCAACTAATAAGGATTAGTAATGGGGAGGTTTTATTGAATTCAATTTTTAAGCCTCTTTATTCAACAGAATCCTTAAAACACAGAGATTATATTTTTGGAGATACCAACACACTACCATGAATTCTATAGTATGTGCAACTCTAAAGTATATTTTCATGGAAGATTAAATGCTTATATACAGTATATGAAATTATTATTGATTACACTTTGCAGTTGTATTTCCACATTGAGGGCTTGGTGATATACTGTTTCAGTGGGTTTTCAAAGCATCATCTAGCAGGATTTATAGAAGCTATAGCAGTATTACTAACTCTAATGATTTTATCACAAGTCCTGCTGTATTTAATGTTGTATTTTAATTCCTGTCTACTAGAGTACAGTGAATATGTGAGAATTCATCCTTTTATTTTTGAAAATAATTCTCTTTTTTCCTATCTACTAAAAAATTTTAACATTTAACACATTTCTACCTGTGTTTATCCACAGACAGATAAAAGGAGTAAAGTTGAGTGAGAATCTCACTGTTCTTATCAGCTTAACGCATGTCTCTCTATTTTTGCAGTTTTGATAGTTGGGGTTGGTGATACTTCTCAAGATAAGCAAGCAGTATTGTATAACACTTAGAGAGCACATAACTTTATCAAAGGGGTCATAGTCATTCCTTTGGAATTGACAGTTAAGTTATGTTCATCAGGAATTACCAGAAGTTAACTTATATTAGAGCAAACCCATTAGGTTTATCGTTGTGTTCCTGCAGTGAAGACATATTTCATGTATATGTATTATTTCCTATATTATTCTTTTTTTCTTTCACCTCCAGCGTGCTGGTCCTGAGCAGGATTTTGGGAGCCACTGCCCCTCCTCGCTGTGGCCAGCACCAGAGGATTTCTGAGTGCAGGCCAACTCAGGAGTAAAATTCTTTGTCCTCACTTATTCCAAGTGTCTCCTTTCTGCATCTCCACAAGCAGTATCCTGTTGAGCTTGGGATACCCATATTTAGTTGTCTCCATGTAGGTGTCTGTGTGTGTGATAGGTGTCTGAGCTCCGGTAATGGTCTGTGGAGATTTAGTCCATACAGACAAGGGAGCCACGTGCGTGATTCGACTTGCCCTAATGCGGCGACCCGAAGGTGGATCAGCTCCAGCTTCCACTGAGTGTATTGACTATAGTGGGTATTTCTTGCTTAACATGCAAGTAGGTATTTATGTATGACACTGAAGTTTAGGTGTCTTGTTCCCAAATGGAATCCCTCTAAGCAGAGGCTGAATTATTTTGCTTATTATTACTAAGGGAATGCCCTCTATGCAGAGTTCCAGTGCCTTCTTTGAGAGGCTGAAGGCAGAGTGTGGTCTTCACAAAGTCCTATTTAGCTTTCTTAGGTGGTCATATTTCTATTTAATCCTAACTACCACCATTTGATGTTTTACTATACAAGATCTTACCTTACCTCATACAAAAGATTTCTGTTACTAAAGCACTTTTCTTGCTTTGGGTTTAAGTTTTTGGTGGAGTTTCAACTCACCTCTATTTCCTTGCATCTGATTCATGTTAGAAACCATCTCTTTTAAAAAGTGCTGCAATACGACAAGCTAAATTATTTTTTTATGTACATAATAATCTTGTGTGCTACTAATGAAAAATTATTGTAAAATTACAAGTTTGAAACAAAGCTTGTTGTAGATTTCCATCCAGTCCTTGTTCATCATTTTCACTATTTTCTTTTTAATAGGAGTCCTGTGCTTGTGTTCCAGTGCGTGCATCGCCATGTCATTTGCCTAGACTGTTTCCATTTGTACTGTGTGACTATGCTGAATGACCGTCAGTTCATCCATGACCTGCAGCTTGGCTATTCCCTCCCCTGCGTAGGTATGTTTTAGCTGATTTTTTTTTTTTTTTTTTTTAATGTATGTGATTTGGATTTCAGGGCAAGAATTTTTTTAGCACCTATTAATTTTGGGTATATCTGTGGAATTACACTGCTTTGATAGGAGTTGTTTCATTTCATGGAGAACATATTTTAATATTGAAGTGGTTCTTGCTGAGCATGTGAGCTGGAGGATTAATCGGATTCCAAAGGGCATTTCTTTTAAAAGCAAATACTTATTTTCTTCACATTAGTACTTTATAATGCTGAAGTTCTACCAGATGATAGCATTACACTCTGGTTAAAGAAAAACACCTTGACCTCCACATTTCCACTTTCAAATTAAGTAAATTGTTAACTTTCTTGCCCTGTCTTCAAGTACTAATAAAAATGGACTGCAATAGGAATTTCAAATAGCCTTCCTGTTGATGAAGCTATTGCTGCTAATTGTCACCTCATTGAATGAAATCTGCTCAGATCACCCTGAGGAGATGATAGATTGTCTGTTTTACCTGTGTAGGAAACAAAGTCTGACCTAACTAAACAAAAGTTTACACTGAATCTGGAAGGTGTGTTTTGAGAATTGATTCAATTACACTGGCACATGGACTGCAAAATTCTCAAAAATTTTGCGTAAAGAAATATATTAGAATTTGTTTTTCCTGTCTTAAATTTGCATATGTGTATGTATGTTAGTCACAAGTGCTGTATAGTCGTCAGAATAATTTTCCATCATGTTAGAAGCAGCATAGAAAATGGGTTTTCTTGATTACCTGAATGGCTGGCAAATAAGTTTCAAATCACCAGATGGGAGAAAAATTGACAAATTTTCTCAGGAGGGTCACATTTACTTAAAGTGAGGTCATGCTTTGAGGATACTGAAAGTACAGTAGTAAGAACCATTTAAAATTATTTATTTTTCATTGTTTCAGGAGCAGTCTAGCAATGGTCATCAGTTCACATTTCACTAGAATTGCTGTTTATGTGCTGTCTCGCCAGGTCTCATTTTACTTCCCCCCCAACAGTTTGCTCTGCTACCACATTTACACATTGATGTCACACTGCACAAAACACTTTTTAATGTTGTATGAGAAAACTTGTCATGAGGAACCTAACAGGAGCTTTATAAGCAGTGCTTTTCCTTGACCTTGACATTACTGTAGTACTATGTGGTCAGTCTGTACTCTCAGCCTCCCTCCAGAAGCTAATCCATTTTCTGCTCCCACCCAAATTAATCAGCTACTTCAGATGAATCCATCCTTTTTTCCCCTCGTTTATCAGCTCTCTTCCCTGTTCTCCCGTTAGTTCCCCAGGTTAATCAGATATCCCAGTGGTGCAGCAGGCAACTCATCTTTCTCCTCTCTTGCGGCCCTCCTTGCAGCCACGGCTAGTGTCACAGAACTTCCTTCAGTTCAGACTGTTATGTTAAATTAATGGCTCTTCCACCTCTTCTGTCTGTAAACTCATTGCTAGTCATGCTGCACAAAACTTGTATTAGGATTTTTTCAGATAGTTTGCAGCTCTGGTTGATCAGTTCAGAGGTTTTATCTGTCCTTTTTTTTCTCAGAAAGGGGACTAAGAAATTTGCAGAAGTTTTTACCCCTGGCTGGCAGTAGCAAGCCAGTCTTTTTCTCTCTTCTATGTGTTGAACACTATGGGACTTGAGTGGTAGAATCAGAGTAGGGATGTGATGAGGAGAAAATGCAAAAGCACAGAGCTGAAATGCTCAGGGTCGCTATTTCAGTCTTTAGGAGGTGAGGAAGGCATAGGCTTGGCCTAAGAAAGTGATACCATAAAGGATGCACAAAGGATGACTGTAATTCTACTGTTCAAGTGAGATAGGGTTCAGCTGTGGGAATGGAAAAGCAGCTATTGCTGCCAATCTAGCCTCCCCTGTGCTATAATTTCGGTGTTAGAATAGCTAAATATGGAAATGCTAAAATATCGCTAATCTTAAAGTTTCAGAACTCCCCAAACCAGAAAGTTGTTTTCAAAATACTGTATGTTATAGTAGAACTACTAGTAGTAGTAGTAATAATAATACAATTGCAGTACATTTTCTCTATGTTCTCCAGTTAGTATGAATGGTTCTTGGAAAAATTTCTGCAGAGGTGCTGCCCTGTGCCAGCAGAGTGCCTGGTGTAGGTGTGCCCCAGTGCAGTGCTGTGCAGTGCTGTGCAGTACAGCGGTTCCTGAGCTAGAGCCAAAGTGTGATGCTGAAAGAAGGGAAGCATAGCTGTGTCAGTAGAGCATGTGGGACGGGCTGTTTGACACTTCTGATAGGCTGATTAGGATTGACCAGGCAATGACTACTTCAGGACCTGTGCTAGTATCTCTGCACAGTGGTGTGTGGTGCTGTCTAGGCATGCCTGCTTACTCAGAGCCAGCCTGATTATCTCTAAGAAGTATTGACATTAAAGTGTGCCAGCATGCTTTGTGTTGGAGAGGTTTTCGATCACAATCTCTTGAGTATTCAGCGGTTTTAAATAATATTCCATCTAAACCTAAAATTGATTGCTACAGCTGTCAGTTCTCTTTGTGTTAAAAGTTCTGTATCAATAAAAGCATTTGTAAGCATTATCTTTCAGACTGCTTTGCAGGATGAATAATCTAATCAGTGCTGTTGTAACTTCACTGGTCCATTTCTACAACTACCTGAATATGACTTTCTATTATGCAAGAAATTTGATTGTTTCTAGAATTAGGTTATATAGGAGTTAGGCACTGATGACTACTTTTTGTCCTTTGAGAAAGTCATGAAGCTGAGTTGCATCACACCTGTGAAGAAGAGGAATGCCTGAGTTGCCAACCGCTTCTCTCTTACTGTTCAGCTACAAAGGATTTTAGCCTCCTTGATAGCTATGGATCCAGCAGTTTTAATCGGCAATGAATTCAATTCAGAAACATTCAGAACAGTATCATGTGATTTTCTTTTCCACTTACCTTGGCACTCCTCCTGAATAGTGTAAGATTGCAGTTTTGCAATGTACAGCTCACAGTCTTCATTTCTGCAACTGCAATTTGCAGTTTGTATTTACATGTGAGGACGATGAAGCACTGTTTGACACAATTTTCTCTAATTACCTCAGTGAAGCCTAAAATTAATTCCCCTTGACAGAAATGAATACAATGGGACATGCCAAGAAAAGACTTTCCTTTCTTACTGTGGCAAAGTTGGTTTAGTACATGTTATCTCTAACAGAACATGACTCAAAACAAAAGATACTAGATCTGAGCTTTATTGAAAGGTTAGATGTTGATTTGAGCCTGCTTCTAAAAGGAATCCGAAACAAATTTTTGTTTAGTGTAATGAGATTTGTGTTATAGTAGGTGACCAAGTTGCACAGACAGATCAAAACAGTCTGTATTAATACATGTATTTTTAAACATCACATGCTGAAGTAGTATTTGTGGTGTCTTCAACAGAAAATACTAATGTTCTGAGTTGGACTTTGTAAAAGTGATTTTACTTTTCCATTTTCATTTAAGAATTGATTTACTTAAAAACTAGTGCATTTCTTCAAGGCATATGTGCACACATTGCCCTAGAAAGAGGGTTTGGTTTCGTAATTAAGCCTATTTAAATTGTTTGCACTTCCAGTTAGTTCTGTTCATTCTGGTGTTTTTCAAAAATAGAGATAACATAATGAACATAGCCTGCAGTTTCCATTAACATTTGACTCACTGTTCCCGATTTTTATCAAGGGAACATACCAACATAGCAAGTTTTTTATATCTTTTATTGGATCAATCTAGAGGTGAAAGCACTGCACACACAACAGGATAAAAATAAACAGCAGCTGCTACAGCAAAGGGTCTCTGTGACAGACGAGATCAATGTTATCACATGTGTACACTAACTTGAATTGGAAAAGATCTAGGAATTTCAGATAGACAGTGCTTCTCAAGTAGGCTTAATTTCTTGCTTTCTGGCACAGATATACCAAAAGATGTATTTTGTCATTGCATTCAGGTATTTTTTGTGTTTATATCCTTTCTTTTCTTTGATTTCTTTTGTGTGGCCTAATTAAGCAGGAAATAATATGTGTTCAGAAGAAGGCTATCGTCTCAGCTGATGAGGTATGATATATTACCTTGATAATGTCATAGCTTCACTTTGTTTCAACACAAAATGTGTCATTGCTGTGATTTTTGGAAGAATAACATTAATTCCTTAGTGCTTAGCTGCTAATCTAGTGCCAGGCAGCACTACTCCAGCTGAGAACAGCCAGCGTTGAGGACCAGAGCTCTGAGCATGGTAACTGGTGCATTGATAGGATTAGCTGTTCAGAGTAGTGTGGCAGAAGCCCCATGACTGAAACCCACTGTATCAGCTCAGAGCAAGGACATACAGATAGGAGCTGTCTGGATTTCATTGGTCATTAAAATAAAAAAGTAAACGTTACTGATTATACTCTCTCTGCCCTTGTTAAATGGCAACAAAAATCTATCCCATCTCTCTGTATGGTGTCTTGTATTAATGAGGCTTCATGCATAGAAATTTCCATGAGTGGTGACCTCCAAGTATCTTTGAAATAATTAATAAGGTGCTTAGAGGGATAGATTTGCATATGCATGAAAGATCATTTATGGTTATTTAGTTACTGTACAGAGCAAAGAATCTCATAGCATTACCTCAAAGCAGGAATTGTATACAAATATAAAATGTATTACCCCATTTAAACACATACTGTTCCTATGAACACTGTTGCATTTTTAAAATAACATTACAGCGTTATGGGTCTTGGTCTCCAGGGCAAAATAAACTTCCACAGATCTTTGGTAAAAGAGAAGTTGGTGAGGCCAAGGAAAGGCAAGGTTTTACACGGCTGTAGGCACTTTGCAAAAGTGTTTTTGCATCAATTTATTTCTTACGAGTAATCATATGCATGATGTATTTTAAAGGAATCTAGATAAAAGATGCAGTACTGATGACTAAAATACTACTGTATCTGGAAGTAATCTGATTTTACCACACAGATATATAGATAAATAAATAAGT